GTGTTTTTTTGTCAAGTATGTTTCTGTCTTTCGATAATTATTTTTATTTTTATATACAACAACATTATATTACCATTTATTTGAATAAATATATTATTTAAATAATTATATTTAGTAGAAGAAAAATATAATCGATACTAAACACAATCAGTTTAAAAAACCAATTTTCTTAAAACTATTATCAATTGTGTTGTTGTATTTATAAAAAAATAATAAAATCGTTTACTAATAAGTTTCTATTATAATTTTATATTAAAGTAGTGGTATATATTAAAAAGACGACAAAAAAGTTGTTTTGTTTATTTCGTTTTAATTGAGAAATTTGAATCAATTTTTATTTTTTTGATGGATTTCAAAAAGTAGCAATAGTATATTTTTACAATAATTTATTTATTATTGTAAATTAATGTATATTAATTTGGATTCAAGACAACAAAAAATACATTTATCCATCGAACGTTTGAAAATAATTCCACTCAATGAAACATAAAAACAAGCTAATAATCCAATTTTAAATTAGTTTCACTAATAAATATAATCAATAATAACAATGAAAATTAGTTATAATTTGTATTATTTTAAAATAAATATAATCTAAAGTATAAATTAAATTTATAATGATTTTTTAATTAATTTAAATTATTTTTAAATGATTCAATAATATTTAAAATTTATTCATTGATCGTTTTTAATAGTAATATTATAATTTATTATATTTATATATGTAAATCTATGTAATATTAAAATATGTTAAATTAAAACAGTATATTTCTATCGCAAACATTTTTTATCGAATTAAAAAACATAAACCTTATGCAAGAAGACGAGATTGTTGGCACATTTAAATGGAAGAAAAAAGGAGAAGCACCAAAAAGCTCACGACACGTTAAAGCTTCGCCTGATCCGACTTACTCGTTTGATCCCAAAGGAAGTAATTTAACTGAAGTTGAGTGTTTTAGGTTGTTTTTTGTGAAGAGATAACAAATAACCTTTTATTGTTTTCAAATAAAAAAATAGCCAAAGAACATAAGACTGATGATAACAAACTTTCTAAAACGAGCATCCTGAGGTACCTAGGAATTCTTCTCTACATGGGAGCTCACCATGATGTCATTAATCCCGTGGAAGAGCTTTGGTCAATCGACCACGGAAAATCTATTTATAGAAATAGCATGCCACGTGACATGTTTAAATTCATTTCTTCACACATAGAAACTTACGATGTGGGCCAGCCAGATGATGTTTGTGATGATGCATCAGACACTTCAGATGATGGGGATGTCGAAGAGAAAGAGAAAGCTGACAACGGGCCAGAAGGAGAGTATTTCAACTGCGCGGAATATTCAGATCGAGATTTCAGAGATCTCTCTGAAGAGCAACTCAGGAAAGATGTCAGAATCAAAAGGGGCATCGTTGGTAGTGGAGTTGTTAAAGTCGTCCCTGCAATAACTCCAAATGCACACGACAGCTTTTCTAAAATTAGAGTGGTTTTAGATAAGTTTAATTCTAATCTTGTCAACCAAACCTATTACAAACCTAGTAATAGTGTTTCGGTTGACGAACATTTGTGTTCTTATAAAGGGCATATGTGTGCTAAGGTGTTTATTAAGTCTAAGCCTGGACGTTATGGTATAAAGTTTTGGGTTTGTTCTATTTTTACCAAATGAGTTTTATTTATGAAGTCAAAAATGACGGAGAGTTATTATTGGTTTGACATGTATGATCAAATTTAATAATTTAATTATTTGTT